CATCCCCTGTGGTTCCTTGTGTTTTGGCCTGTTGTTTAAGTTCTTGTGTTTCCATGTGCTTCACCTGTGTTTTCCCGTGCTTCACCAGTGTTATAAGCTCTTTAAGTTAATAAACCTTTTTGCACCCCATCCCCCTGTGTTAGCTGCATTTTGGGTCCACCCTTACCCGCATAGTGACAGATCCTGACATATATTCTATTCCACTCAAGTTCAGAGGGGTGTATTGTACTGTTTACTCTAACTGACAGTTTTAGTTAATTTACAGTATTTTATAGAGTTTATATAAAATGAACAAGAACTAGTAAAATGTAGAGAGTTGGGGAGAAACTCTAAGTTGGTGAGAGATGAGTGGAGAAACAACTAATGCATGACCTTCCATACAGGGCATGAGGGGTGAGTGAGAGATTTGATGAGTGTGAAAATAATGTGAATCACGGCCTTAAAAATCTCAAAATCTCATTACAGCTGAAGCCATGTGTCAGACAGTGATCTCCACCTCCATCATGCACACCAAATGAAGGAATATCTTTAATGGTGTTCACATCTCCAGTACAGCTCCACAGACATGCACACTCTACCAAGAGTACTGAAGCTGTTCATTGTCCGCTTTATTTTATCACCTATCTGAAACTGCATGGCTGAATACTATTGGTGGTACATGACAGAATACTGTAGCCTATCTTTTCTTCTAATGGGGGTGAGCCTAGAGTGCGAATTATACAATGACAATCAAGGGGATCAACTATTTCTCCAGGGTGAAAGGAAACCCAGTAAAGCTCAGTACAGTGCTTCAGTGAACTGAGGTGTTGGGCACACATGTATTTTAATATTGAAAAATATTGAAACATTAGCTAACATTAGATGATACATGACATTTTATGTGGGTAATGAAATGACAAGCTAACATTGGAAATTGAAGAGCATGTTATCAGCTAGCTAACATTAGTTAGCTAAACTGTAACTGTATTTATGTATATTTAGATAAACTGTAACTTAAGGCCAAAGTGAGAAACTAGTAAATATTAGTTAAACTGTAACTTAAGGCTAAAGTCAGAAACCAATTACAGACAGGAATATTATATACTGTACATGTTTAAACCCCCCAAATTGTTATTTTTTTACCTCTTTTGGTGAGGTCCAAGTCTTAATGAGGGGGGGTCAGACCCCCCAAATCCTGCCCATAATTAGAACCCTGGGTGAGGCAAACCTTTATGTATAATTATACATAAAGTTTGGTTGTTTGTTTGTTTCATGTGTGGCAAAGACGACTGAACATGTGAAAAACAATGACTGTAATCTTTGAGCTACTGTGTGGAGCAGCTGTAAATCACTAATAATACCAGAGATAATGTCACCTAATCTGTTAATGATAGAGAACTTCATAATGAGGCGGCTGTTTGGTCTGGTTGAGGGTCCCTATCGGTTTTTTTCTTACAGTTCTCAGCAGTGTGCCAACCAGGTGCATATCAGACCACTAACAGCTTCTTCCGATTTGAGCGCCAGAAGCCAAAAAACACAATCTCACAGTGACTTTATACAAATAAAACAAGCCTCTAGAGGAAACCAGGAAAACACTTTGAAATAGGATTTCTCACCTACAGTGGATCTGTTGTAATGACACAGACACTGAAATCCCCATGAGCAATGATGCATTCCCAGAAGAAAATTACACCACAGCACAGGCGAACACTTGCTTCACATTATCTGCTATAAATATGCAGCATATTGCAGCGTCATCCTCCTGTTTCTAAGACTCCAGTTCATTTTCTCTTACAGGTCAGATCACTCAGGCTATCAGTCCAGACAATTTGTGATAAGAGTTGTCAGAAAATACACTATGTTTAGCATTGGGGACATGTTGTTAACGTCATCACTATCATCTTCAAAACAGAGTTAAGTACCTGCACTGTTGAAAGTTTACCATCTCATACTACATCAGACTGCTGAATGTGTCGATCGGCCACAAAGATTTATAATCTGCTATAGTGCCACTATTAACACTCATTAGTAGGTAATTCCAACCTATCAAGAATACCGTATCTGACATGGGCATCAAACACAGGGGTGTGTTAACCTGGCAAAAAAACATCGGCATGGTGCAATATGGAGCTCAGGGGATTAACACCACATAAGATAAGACTGATATGGTTCATGGAACCATTACAGTCTCAGAGAGCCGATAACAGCTCTGATGACTGTGAACTGCATTCATAACAAGTGTTGAAGGGGTGTGGAGAAATTTCATTCATAACACCATCCAAGCATAGACCACTGTACCAGTCATGATGGAGCGTCAATAAATGATGACTCATGAACACACTGACCAATAAACAAAGAGCGAGGTACACAGTAGAGTTTATAGGTCAAGGGCAAATAGAAAGGAGAAACAGTCACAAGTGTCACGTAGCAGAATATAATGCTGTCTTTGATTTAGCTCGGTTTTTGCATACTTTATGAAAGGGTCAAAAATCTCTTAGCATTACTCGTTTAGGGGTTGTCTGCAAAATTGTACATATGCCGTCTTTGCAAAACTTAAACACTGTTACATTTAGAAAGCAATTCACAAAATATTATGGATTACAAGTATGACTTGTCTGATATCTTCCTAGAGTCTCTGCACAAGCCTCAGCAGCTTAGAGAGCTATCTTGTTACAGTGAAAACACAAATCTGGTGCATATGCTAATAAAAGGATCCAAAGCCTTCACTGCAGAGGATCATAAATGAAACCTCTGACTTTAAAAATGTAAGAATTGTTGTTTTGAGCACCTGACCTGGTTCCAGGTGAGGCCTGCTTACCCCATAGTTTATCATTCAGCTTTATGTAAGAAGGAAGTCACATTTTCACTGTATAGTTGAACATAACAGCTTCTTATAAGCATCAAGGCCAAAGTACAAACAGAGTATTGAAGAATTATTCACTGGATAGGATTTACATAATCTCAGATTTTAGAGGAAAGGGAAGAAAAAAAATTAAAGATTCAAGTGGAAAATGAGAGGAAATAAGAAAATTCCTGTTTAATGAATTACATAAACAATGGAATTATCATTATAATACAGTCAATTAAAAGCTTTCTCCTAATTTAATTGTGTACATTAATCTTACTACACCTAAAATGAATATTCTAAATAAACAGAACTACATTACTTATAATCTTTTTGTGCACTACAATACTAAACACAGGTAAATAAATTTACTTAATGAAAATGGACTCATGGAAAAATGACCAATTGACTTCCGTAAACTGTTTAGAGAAAAATGTTGTGCAATGTTGCACAGTTTTATCAGCACAAACTGGCTCACTGCCAGCTGTGTGTTGGTTGTGATGACTAAGTAGCATCCATCAAATCAAGATGTGTTTTTCCATTTCCATATAGGCATGGAAATATTTCTAACTCACATTTTTTTAAAACACAAATCTTTTTGTTCTTTTTACGTGTTTGCAATAATTATTGACTTCATTCCCATGAGACAATTAAGAAAACTTCTGTGGTAGAATAAAACTAGTGCCTGCAATGGTTAAACTGGAGGTAGCAAAAAAGGAATGAAGGGAGAAAAGGGAATGTTTTTGTGCTGCGCACTTGAGTAATTAATGGCTTTTATGTAACATTGTTGCAGTGCATCTCAAGTATAAAATGTAAATTATAACTCTCAAAATTGATTATGGTGCAGGGTAGAAAATTGAGAAATGGTAACTGTCATTGCAAAATTAAAATGTGTAAATGATAACTGTAGCAAACAGTATTGATTTGTGATGTATTGTTTCCTTTTCTGTTCAGCTTCCTTTTTTTGTTGTTGCCAGATTCAGATTCAGACAGTAACAGCTCTATTCATTCATTCATTCATTCATTCATTGTGTCTCTAGTAGTCATCAGGAGGAATGATAATGTTCACAGACAACTGGATCGGCACCAGGATCGTTCATTCATCTTTCTGTTGAACTGTTTGCTTCTTTGTTCTTATTGTTTTTCATAGAGCAAACTTTTGGAGATTTTTTTTTTTTACTGTAAACTCTTTCTTTTTCAATAATTAAGTTATAACAGTTCACCTTTTATTATAATTAGTAGAAATATCTGTATGTATTCATGTATAACATCATCAAGTTAGCAAGTGCACAGTATTATGTTATATCCGATAGCAGTGGTTCGCAACCTTTTTGGCTCGTAAAACCTTGATATAAATCAAAGTCTACTTGTAACTCTTCATAACAGGTTATGGTCATAAACTGTGAGCAGTTCGACCAAAGAGGGATTTGTCTTTCTCAGATTTCAGGCAGTTTAATTTGAGAGATTTATACGGGTCTTCAGAGGTAAAAGTATCTAGTATTTCACAAGAAACAAAATTAGAGTTAGTTAGAAAGTTACTTAGAAGTTAGTTAGTTAGTTAGAAAAGTTAGGTAGAAAAACTTGTGTACCCGATTTCTATGTACTCATCAGATTTATATATTTACAATGTTGGGAACCAGTGGCCAACAGCTTCCACCACCATAAGATAAGCCACCTGCTATTTTTTCCACTTGTGACAGCACAAACAACAGAACATATTGAGATATGGATCCCACACCTGTCTACTACCAAGTTTAGTCAATTGTTCTCTTATCAGCTCTCAGCCCAAAGAATTTTCTCAATGTTTTTGCCTCTACCAACCATATCTCACTCATCCTTCTGACCCCAGATTGATACTGTGTTAATATACAACCGAGGAGGCAGGTACATTCCAGTCACCTCCCTTTATGTCTGAAGAGGTAGAGAAAGTTGCACAAACTCACACACCATCAACTGCAGCACCATTTGTTGGCATTCAAATTTGGAGAGGGAATTTATTCACATTATAGGTGCGTCTAACATCGTCTTATCCTGAGCAGGCACTAGAGGGATAAAACTAAAATATAAATAGCTCCTGCCTGATACCAGTGTCATCAAGACTTGGAAAGGTACAGAAATAAGAAGGAAAACGACACCTGGAAACTCCAATAAAAAGCAACAAGGGAGTGAAATGATCATGAATGTGAAAAAGCAGCTGTGGTCTCTGGCCCGGATAGTCCTGCCTGGGGTGGGATTTGCGTTGACGTGCATCGGGGCCTACCTGGTGTCCCAGCAGACCGAGTACCAACACACATGGAAGGTCATCCCAGGCTATATCGTCATTGTCTTCGGCTTCCTGGCCATGCTCGTCGGGGTCTTCTGGACCATCTGCCTCAGCATGAAGAGTAAGATATACCACAGAGGAAGACATGAACAGCACATCCACATCTACACTATTGAAAGGTAAAACCACCTGTGAGCACTGGTACTAACTCTTTCAAAGTGTTTCAGTGAACATGAAAAAGTTACCTAGTTTTGGAAAATATGGAATATTTAAGCACTTTTTTCTAAGTGATTATTTTTGCGCAATACTTACTATAACAATTGGAAAAAAGAAATAAAACTTTTTAAGTAAAGTTAGAAAAGTGTTTGCTTTCTGGAGGAAACTACAGAAAAAGTGTTTTTCTGGAAAACAAATAAAATGAATCTAATGCCACTAATGTATTCTCTGTATTTATCTCTGCAGACCAAGCTCCTTTCCTCCATCATATGAGGAGTCCCAGGGAAGCCAAGTCTCTCCTGATACAGTCCCTGAGACTGTGGTTGTGGTTGACGGAGTGGATGTTGTCATGGGTCTCGCTCCTCCGCTGTACAGCCAGGACAGCTCAGAGGCCCCGGACTGCACGTGGAGCTGGGAGCAGCCTCCGAAATACAGTCAGTTCGAGTGTGTTCAGCAAGAGCAGGGACAGGAACTAACTGTCTGAGAGAAAAGGGAGAAATGCTGATTATAGAAAGGCATGACTTCTAGACTGAGCTGAAAGAGAAAGTTCCAGAAGAAAATGGGAAAGGGCTTGTATTGCCGGATTGTATGGACCACAGAGTCGTGTTGACATCACCTGTGAGCCATGAATCTACACCCAGCGCCCAAACTCTGAACTCTAATGTCTGACCGGACTGCTAACAGGCCTGTTTCAGCCCAGAGGTATTAGTAGAGGAACAGTCTGTACAGTTAAACTGTGGTTTTGTGCTTATGTTACTCAAATGGTTTTGTCTCTGGTTTCCTAAAACAAGGACAAGCTTCACATTTGAACTGCAAAACTGTTGACAAATAACAGAGGACGATATTATTCCAGTTGGATCCATGGAAGTCTGAATGGACAGATGGATTTTTACCTGCACTGTAGTTCAATTTGTGAACTATTAAAATCAAACACTCCTGTATGTTTACAAGTATAATACCACTCTGTGTATAGAGGTGAGTGATGTTACCCCTGTCCTAGGGTTGTTTGTATTATGGAATAAAAATATCAATGTGCTAAACCTGCACTGTGTCATTATATTGCTTGTGCTCAAAATGTTTCTTCCTCAATGTTAAGGCAACCTTTGGAAGATTTGTTTTGCATTATAAACTATGACTTGTCACATTCATCAAGACCTTTTAGAATAATAGTCTTTAAAAAATCTTTTTTTACTGGGCAACCTGATTAAATTTTAAAATAGATTGAACCAAAATCTGAATTGTATATTTTAAAATTGACAAGTTCCTACTTGAAAAAAAGCAGTTTATAGTAACGAATCTGTAGTGAATAGTGTACAACAGACTGACTTGAACCAGGAATATTAAAATTACATGGACCTTGTCCTCAGGCCACAACAACATCCCATACATTAGTTTTATTTTTTGCCAAATTATATCTTTAACTACTGAGGTTGAAAACTTCTTTTGCAATGCAAACCTACTCAAGACGGCAGCATATAAAGCTGGTGGAAAAACAACATGAAATCAGACAGTGGACAAACCAATATATAAAACTTAATGATACTGAAATAAGATTAAATTAGGCTAAAAATGAGAATTTGTCAAATAAAAGTCCTTTTGTAGATTATTCCAAGTGGCTGGAGCAGAAAACATGGAGGCTGTCTTTCCAACATCTGCCCATACATGAGTGACAGCAGATATACAGTATGTCTGGCAATACTAGCTCATGATTACAAGATGGATTTTGTGAAATAAGTTTGCACATCTGTAATGACAGTCAGGCCAGAACGGCTTTACAAATAATAAAATACACTAATATCTAATTGGACATATGGACACAGAGCACAGTGAGTTAATGCTCTTAATTACAAATTTTAAATATTTGCAACTATGTCAGCGGCCCATTGAGTGTATTTGTATACTATGGCCCTAACTAAGGCCAATAATGCTCTGGCAAAACAAAGTCTTTTCAGTCTTTGCTGAATTTGTACATTTGCTGTGCATGACACCATGAGATTTCCTAACAAGCTGTTTCAATAGATTACATGTTCTCTCTGAAGCACACCTGACAGCTCAGTTGAAAAGTTCAACACAATAAAAACACTGGTGGAGCAAAATGTCCTGCACTAGTATGCAACTTTGCATTTTAATGCTCAAATGAAACAGGGGATTACTAACAGGAGCATATTCATCTACGCATGCCTCTACTTATTAGACATTAGTCTCTGAAACATGGACAATTTCAGCTAAACTGTCTTCTTAGCGACAAACTCAAAGGTGATAAACTGCCACTGATCCTCATCCAACCTCAGAAATAACCCATGACATTATAAAACAGTTGGATGGGGCAATAACCTGTAATGGTTGACAGGTAATGTCTGGCTGACTGAGTGAACACATCCTTGTGGATATCCACTGGCATATCCTCAACTCATAATGACGGCAATCGGTGTGTTTATGAGTTCCTGCTCTCGGTGTCTCATTCAGGCCGTATAAAGATCAACCCTCTTCATTTCTTATCACAACACAACAGCTTCGACACGTTTCACACTCCGTTCGAAAGCAGGTGCTGTACTTGGGAAACAAAAGCCTACTTTTCCTCCGCAATCAGCATGTGATATATAGTATCAGGATAACATGGTGCTCTTAATTATGAAGAATCTGTTTAATTAAAACCCAAAAATGCCTGAGGGCAAGCTCTCTCACTCTGATGTATTTTTATTTGTCTCCATTAGACCTGTCCGAATCAATTGAAAAAGCATCCACTACACACAAAAGAGTTTATTTGGATTAAAAAAAACAAATCAAAAAATGGTTATGTTGCATTCCCAAAGGCCTAAACTGACAAAATAAAGAAAACAAGTAAAACCATATTAGAATATATTTTTCTTCTTCATTCCTGATCTTGCTATGTTACCATTATTATACATTTTGATTTCCCTGTCCTTAGGTAGTAAACATGAGTGTGACTACTCCCCACTTCATAGAGCTTTAACTTCATTTCATATCAAACATTTCAATTCACATCACTATGTCATATAAGTTGTGATGCAATGCCGCTTTTATTTTACACTTTGAAAAAATTATTACGTCTGCATGAAATGGTTGAAAAGAAAAAAAAAACCACTGTGACGTACTGTATATGAGAGGATGGGTACAAGCAATATGAAAAGTGAACACTGCACTGTTATACAAAAACAGCGTGAGTTAAAAAATGGACAACTCCTTTTAGGCTCCCTCAGTCAATATGTCTCGATAAAAGCAAGGCACAAACATTAAACGTCATTCTGCACATTGATAACTGGTTTACTGTTGAGATAATTAAATAGCCTCCCTGGTTTAAACACTGACACTATGCTAAGTTCTCAATATAGTGGTCAATAAACAATTGAGATAATTGTGCAACATTAATTTTCTTGTGGGGAGATAAACTCCTGCATTAAGCACCCTCAGTTTAGTCATTTCTTTAAAAAGAAAAATGAAAAATGAACCTGAAGTTACAGAGAAAGCATGTTTAAAGCATCACAAACATTTTTTGGGGGGGGGGGGGGGGGGTTATCTGTGTGAGCAGGTAGATGAATGCGCATGTGTGTGCATGCATGTGTGTGTTTTCCCGCTTGCTCATGTGATGACGTTGGGGCCACGGCGGCCTGTCCTCTCATGGATGTTGGAGAGCTTCAGGGCAATGGCAATGAGAGGACCCAGCACCACCTGCAGTGAGAAACATAGAGAATTTTCAGCAACGATCATTCACCAGTGACGGATGATGTTTTGAATCAAGCGGGGAGGAATGTTTGGCGTGTTTATGTATCATTACAAATTCAGGGAGTGTTTCTTTCATGATCAGAATGTTTTTTGAACTTTAAGGTTGAGACCCCGACTGGCTAATCAATGTCTGTAGCCGTGACCATCTGCTAGCATGCAGCAATTCACTCTCAGTCCATAACAAAATATCAAAAAATCTTTGAAACTGTCAGTTGGGAAGATGTTCCTTGCTAGAGGGGAAGAAGATAAAGGACATGATACCCGAAAATGACAATGTATAGCTTTTTTTTGGCATTGTTCTGTCTCAGTTTTTTAGTTTGAGTATTGTTGTACTGCTTCTGTGTATTGTTTGCATTGTTTGCACCTCTGACCAATGAGTTTCTTTCTTTGGATGAGTTGGACAACATAAATGTGATTTGATTTTTTCATGGCAGAAAAAAAATTAGATTATGACACTTATATTATATTTCAATTTATATTCCAACTCTATATTATAAGCACAGCAAGAAAAAAGCAACAACTTGCCACTAAGAGACTATGACCATGAGAACACTGATCTTAACATCTAGCCTCTCACTGAGTTACAGTTGTTGAGCACTTCATCAACAGACATCGACCTGGTCTTTGTTTTCTTGTGCACATATACTGTATGGTAGATATGATGTGAGATAAAACAGATAGTTAAACAGTTTCCAGCACCAGTAACCTGGTGTGGTGCTTGCGCTATTAAAACTGTGTGAACGTGCATGTACGGAGGATTTTACAGAGGCATCAGCCTAGATTGTGAACCACTTCTTGTTACTCGTTATAGATAATTCATTCATAAAATGTCTGCAACAAGAACACTTGGGTGCAATAAAGAAATTAAGTATGAGGGAATGCTGAGTTGCGCCATGACAAGTGTTTAAACTAGATCAGGTGCAGAAAAATAAACATAGAATGAATGAAGACTGAGAACAAGTTACAGTTTATACTACACAGCATGTACAGTATATCAATCAATATATCAATGTATTTGTTCTGCGCATGTGCACGGCACATGTCACTAACATTGCTTATGACTTGACTCAGGAGTTTTGTGTTATGGTGTTATTTTTAACCCTTCATAGCACAGGGTTGTGTGATGGAATACAACTCACATCCCAACACATTACACAGCATAAACATACAAACACAAGTACAATGTGAAACTTGATGATATCATCGTTTAGGCTTTAGACTCTGACACTGAAACACACACACAGTATGCAACTGTGCTGCTCAGCTCAGTGGTGTATATATAAAAGTATTTGCGGTACATTTAATCTGGCCTAATGAGCATGTTGGCTAATCTTGTGCGTCCTCTCAGGTGATTTATGTGCGTCGGGTAAGGGGCAGAATGATTAGGAATTTATTATGATTTTATTATTTATGATCTAGTATTAATGACAGATTGTTCAAGGGTTCAGTGAAGGTTCACACAATGGGGACAAGGAAAATAAAATGTTAACATTTGGGCTATACCAGTTGAAATATAGCAGGTTAAACAATATTTGTTTTTATATTAATGAACAATAGGTTAGCCAGAGGAATGCTGCTGTGTTGTGGTCAGTGTTTAAAAAATGAACCCTTTTCATAGGCTACACAATGGAGGTCTAATCCCTGGCTTTTTTACCACTGTGATGTTAATTTTGCTGTCCCCTGATATTTTCATTCTGGCTCCCAAAGGAAATGTAACAACTTTAATGTTAAAGTTTTCATTTTATGACACCACAAAGTCAGACATTACTGGTTGTCCTTTGTCCCTTTTGTCCTTTGATTCAGAAAATACAGGCAAAGCTCGGTCAGGAGGCCAAACCTAAATGAGGCTGTCCAGCCATCATGACTGCATCTTTACAGCCCCTGGGTACTCGCTATTCCAACATCGATAGCCAAACTAGAAGGTTGTGTTCCTAATCACTCCAAAGTCTACAGGTCAGTCAGCGTCAGTAGTGTCACAACGTAGATCAAAACACTTCAATGCAGTTGGCTTCTGAGGTGGTGAGCACAAAACAAGGCATGATGGAAAGTAATAACACAACAAATCTGTTGTAAAGACATGAAGGAAATAGAAATTTCATGCCAAAATTATGAACACTAAATGAAAACAGCAGAGATGATTGATATATAACATACGCCATCTGAGATAACTTCTGCTATTGTTTAATATCAGTCAATAAAGCTAAGATAGTATTGGTTTTTATAATGACAAATCTGTGAGTATCTACTACTAAATGACTCATTTTACAGACTCTAGCCACTCATAGACATTATATACACACACACACACACAAGATAAGCACACAGACACACCATCACACCCTCTCTGTACCTGTGTCTCCCTGCTGTGTCTCTCAGGGTCTCTCTCAAAGCTCTCGGCATAAATGCGGATGATGGCACCCATCCCGCCGCCGCTCCCGCTCATCCGAAACACCAGGCGCGATGCATCGGTGAAGATGATCCTTAAACCCTGGAAACATACAAACCAAAACAAAATAATGACAAACGCTGACCACACAACAACAGAGCCAAAAGAGACTAAATTAAATTCCATTGTTACTTTCACCAAGACTAAACAAACAGCCAGTTCCTTAGTGTTCAGTTTATAATTATATGCACTGAAGAAATGCAGCTCATTTAATGCCTGTGTACTTACCCAACAAAAGTTTGGTACATGAGCTTGTTATATTACCAAATGACTGATGGTTTGGCATGAAGATATTCTGACAGCATGAACTGAATAATCTTACTGGCTCTGTATACTAAACTAAATTTGCAATTTCATTCTACATGCCACATACAACATAAATGATGATGAGCATGAAATTCATCATACAATATAAATTTTTAAATATCAGACAATTACTATTGTATTAAGTATTAAAAGTTTATCCACTCTTGATTATTCATTAGGTCCCAAATATGCAAATTGGTGATACTGACAAAATAACAAATTACTAGAAGGGCACTCAGAAAACGCAGACCTCTGCCAAGGCCAATGACAAACAGCATGCATCAGACTTCAGAGAAAAAAATTCTAATTGATAGCAAATGATCCGTATCTGCCTCAAAATTTAATGGGTTCTTCCAGCAAGTTCTGTGCAAATTGACGCAATACTTTTTACATAATCCTGCTGAAATAAACGCACAGGGGTGAGAACATAACCTCCTCGGTGGAGGTGAAGAGTTCTTTAGTGCGCAGTAACTGCAAACATCCACTAGATGTCACTAACATTGTGTGTATTTCTGGGACTTCAAACAGGATTCCTTTACAGTGCACACCACAACATGCTTGTATCCAAAGCAGTACTGTCTATGAAGTTATGTAAGGTCATAAATACGCCAGTCGTCAAGTGTTAATTTCAAGGGTGATTCTTGACCATTTGTTTCAGGAGCTCATCACGTTTGTGTTTCCACGGTTCCTGATTAAGAGCCTCCACAACCTCCACGGTTAACTTTGAACTTAACCTCAACATTTTCAGGAAAAACAGGATACTGTTGCGTTGGGGTAACCAACTACAGCTCTCGCTAGCTGACGTAAGGAAGATAAGACTCTTTGAGTAATGAATGTGTGATGACTCTTATCTGTCCTACATTCCACAGCGCCTCTTTCCTTATCCCATTAGAGCGAAAGACAAGCTCAAGGGAAAAGACGGCAATATGTTTTGAGAAAAAACAAGGAGCATGTATAAGAGAAGTCATAATGGTTTTCATAAAACACGCCCTGGATACATATACCTTGAGTGACTCTGCTGTAATGGTTCTAAGTACTGCTGTCAGAATATTCATGTTCATCACTAAAAATGTACTACATGTCTTCATATTGACAAATGCTGTGTAGTTTCTTTTAAGAACAGTACAGAGGGATTTTACGAACTATTATAGCAGTAAAAAGTCAAGTGGGTGCAGCACCCCAGTACAACAGTAACCCCATCTCAGATTAATAGCTGTTAACCTCTTCATACTCAGCTGCATTTTTATAGACCGTTGCACTAAAAGGAAAAGTAACTCTACCACCACTCGCCTTCCTCCTAATCTGAGTTTGGCGAGGGAGGATAACATGTCAGAGTCCGGGTGAGGAGAGACAGTGATAATGAGAGATGTCCGTCCGCCTGTCTGTCTGTCTTTCTATCTGTGAGTATGTCAGCTCATCTCTAACAATAGAGTAGCGGTTATCAGGAGGCTGTTAGAAACAATGTCCACTGCAAAGCTCAGAGGCCCTGAGTGGACCACATACCAGCCACAGTGTGTCTGTGCGTCTGTCTGTCTAATGTTCAATGCTCAGTAACTTCATTTTTAATCAAAACTAACTTAAGACCTGAAACTGTTTCCCTATATAAATATTATTATGCCTTTGGGATGATTGTTTTCTGTGAAAACAGCTTATAAATTTTCAGTAACTACAAAATTGAACTAGAACTCCTACTGATTTCTGGCTTTGCCACAGAGAGAAAGCCAAGCAAGCTCACTTTGTTAGAGGAAGATCGCTATCTGGGGAGAAAACCTGGGCTAGCTTTAAGTACATTGCATTCGGACATTATTCAAAACCTCTTCAATAATTTCACATTATGGTATGTTGTGGCATTATGCTACAATTCTTTTCTTTTTTTTTTTTTGCCAAACTGAGCAATCAGGGGAGAATGGCCTTGATAACAGAGGTGACCAAGAACCTGATGGTCACTCTGGCTCCAGAGATCATGTGTAGAGATGGGAGAAACTTCCAGAAGGACTTCTAAAAATAGACCTGAAAATAGATCTGAAAACACACATTGTGTCGGCAGATACTACATTTTCAAAAGTAACCCAAAAACAGAGTATGCAGGAAGGTATTACAGGTTCTATGGCAATGTTTTTTATCTATCCGTCTATCTGGAAGATATGCAGACAATGTAGAATGAATTCAGTAGTCAGCTACAAAAGGCTGCCATGTCACTACCGTGTAAATCCCCCATACTTTGTCTTGAGTGTGTGTGTGTGTGTGTGTTTGTGTCTATGTGCCAGCTTTCCCCCCTTCAAACACACTCGCAGTGGAGAGACTGCAAGTGAGACGACAGCTGATATAATTCTGTCCTGGGAGGAATGTGTACTGTAATAACACACACTGGTGCGACTGAGGATTTACCAGTGAGGTTAAATCACATTTTGGGGTGACTGACTAAACTAGCTGTGGAGCTGCTGTAACCATGGTAACACGGTGGAGTATTCACAGTGGGACAGCGAGAGATGTTGTCCCTCCTTTACGCTATTAAGACATGTAAGGTGAAGTTGACGTACAAAGTTGCGGGCAAACACAAGTGTGAACACATGTAGGTCATGCAAGTGTGCGTGTGTGCGTGCGTTTGCTTGCCTGCGTGGGTGCGTGAATGCGTGTGTGTGTGTGTGGGTCTGTGTGGTATTAGGTGGGGCACAGGCTAAGAAGTGTCGACGCCAGGAATGAGTTTCCACACATTTCTGGGCAGAACAGAGGGAGTCAGCTGGGTAAACTTAACAGAGATTGAGGGGGAGGGAGACAGGGAGGTTATAGTGACCGAGGCAGTTATCAGTGTATGTTGTGGGGCAGTGTGCTGTATGTCATGTGTCTTTGTATGCATATGTTTACAGTTTATAATGGAAGATAAACTGTCATGTCCAAACATGGAAACTCTCTGATGAGACAACACTGAAGCTCAGTGGGTGGTCTGGCTCACGAGCAGCTGACGAATGTGTATGAAAGAGAGCGAGACGGAGAAACTGTGTGATTGCGAGTGTGCAGTGTCTTCAGGCAGACTTGACATGGCATGAACCAGCTCTCGGCCCACACTTTCTAGTCCAACTCAATTTAATGACAGGTCCGGGGTCTGTGCAACATTTCTGATTGGTCCAGCTGCTATTGGATAAGGCAGCCACTCCCAGTTTTAGGTCAGGACTGTTGTATTAGACTGCATTAGTTTTAGCAAGGTGTACACAATAAACTTCCAACTGAGTGTATAGATTTAAACCACCACCACACCTTCATTCTTATCATGATGCTTCTTTCCTTCCTTAAGACAAAATGTGAAGCAGAGACACTAAGCTTTGAATCAGTACTTACAGAAATGGCCAACATATATGCCAATATGATATATCTGTGATAAACTAATGCTGATCAGCAATCAAGTTTCTGGTGGTTATTGCCACCTGAATGTTAATGTGAGTGTTATTTAGTATTCTAAACATAATAATCATTGGTAACTTCCCATGTAGGCTGCCCTCAGAAGCCATTTTGAACTTGCCACACACATACACAGGGTGAATAACCTCTCTCAGGGGAAGCAAGTACACCATAATATACTAATTTCACATTTCAAGCAATCATAGGTCAATCTGAATTCCATAAATCAAAGTTACACTTTTTGGGTTAGATTTCCTTCTCAAGTGTTCAAAATGACTGTTGCACCAGGATGCACCAATTCTCTTACAGTGCCAGTTTCAATATCTAAATTCAGAGTATCTGCCAATACCAAATAGCAGATCTGATACCAGTGCTTTTTTTACTTTTACAAAGAAACTATATGTTTAATGCGGATACTTGAACTGCTTCATAAAATTAGTATTCTTGTCGACACCAACCCGGGCGTATTGGATTGGTGCAACCCTTAAATCCTGTATCACTTCCTGTCCTCCCTACTCATTTCTACGTGTCCGACTCTGTCATGTAAAATCCTGCATTCTTCCCAGACTGACCTGGTTTCGAGCCACTGCTCCATCCACGGGGTCGATGTACTCATAGTTGTCGGCTCTCTCCACACTGTATATGTGGTCTCCCACAGCAAACTTCTGGCTGGTGAATGCTTTATCTGAGATTACTCCTTCCAGATCCCTCATCAAGTAAAAAGCTGCACGAGGATCCAGGCCTTCGTAGTCAAACCTGACAATCACAAGGCACACAAACAGAAACACGCACACACACACACACAAGCAATGAAACCATATCTAACATAAGAAAGCAATGAGAGGAAAAACTTTGTAATAAAGGAAAAACTTTGTTAGCGTTAAAGAAAATTGTCTTATTTTTTCTCTGATACGTTTTCAAATTGGTTTAATGTACAAATAGCTTAACTATAATGGCTATATGATGACAGATGTTTGTGTTTTGCAGACTTTTTGGTCATCTCTTGCTCGGCCTGACCTGTATGTCCTCTCCAGCTACGTGTTGTGGGAAATGTTCATCAGTTTAGAGAAGCTCTCTGTGGGAACATGAAAAGCTGCAGCAACTGTCAGTGGGAACACTGACTGCAGTAACTATCTCTGACGCTCACAGGGGAGAGGTTAAAATAAGAACGAGTGGCAACCAGTGAGGAGAGGCTAGAGGAGAGATGGATGAAGGTGAAGGCCTGGGAGACATATTTGGCTTCGGTAGGGATAGAGGGGATTGAGACTTTTGGGGAAAGGGAATCATCGAGTCAATCACAGGCTTTTTCAGATTCACATAAATTCAAGATTTCATGATTCAAACAAGGAAAACGGCTCCATGATTAAAACAAGGATAGACCAATAAAGAGATTTCTTAGCCGATTACCTGCAGAAATAGTTGCGTCCAAACTTGGCCCAGTGCTCTCTCACGATCTGCTCCACACCCTGTTTCCTGGCCGCCATGATGGACAACCACACCAGCACTGACCACAAACCATCTTTCTCACGAATGTGGTCTGAACCTAGAGGAGAAAGAAACGCACAAAAATATCGCAGCTCTTGATAAGCCTCTCATACAGTGTGGAACTGAACTGAGGTGATGAGAGATAACATATAACCATGACGTAACTGTGCTGTGTGCAGAGAGTTGTTAAGACACCCAAAACTTCAGTTTTTAGGATGTATGAAAAAATGGTTGGCAGCCCTTTAGATTAGCTTAGCACAAATGGAAACAAGGTGGGGCAACTGGCCTGGCTCTATTTAAGTCACAGCTTCTAACCAATAAATAGTGTAGCATTTAACCTCCCATAGAACAATCAAGACAAAATGAGATGGTTAGTGAGCTTTAGAGGTACTGGTAGGTGGATATCTTTTATTTATCTTTGGATGGAGTCAGGCTAGCTGTTTCCCCCTATTTCCAGTCTTTATGCTAAGCTAAGCTAACTGTGTCCTGGCTCGGGCTTCATACTTAACGGACAGATATGAGAGCGGTAGCTATCGATCAAAGTAAGATAACAAATGTGTGTTTCTGTGTGAAGAAAGAACAGAAAACTGGAGCTGCAGAGTTTCATCAGAACCCTCGTGGAAAAAACTTATTTTCTTTTTTGCAAATTTACTAATTACCTCATAACAGGGTTGGATTCTTAACATATTACAAGAAGCAAATGTAAAAATGAAGGTCATTTTGGCATAGTATTCATCTCTAATGTAACAGAAGGTCCAACCACTTGGGCTTGGAGATGTACCTCATACAAATAATCTCTCCCTCTCCCCACTCAACAAACACATATATACACACAAACATAGGAGTAAATCCCACCCTTTATCAGTCTCCTTCATTGGGGAGCTATCAGTCTGTTCTCAAAGACAGCTGCACAGTAAAGGTATCTGTTAAGGGGACACTCTGACATTTCAATTAGATGAATATGTTAGTAATGTTTCCCTTTCAAGAGATTGAAGTGGAAAATGGACTGAGCTGTTTGGTATCACTTTATTTTAAAATACATCTACATATATTTAACAGAAAAACAGGAAGATATTATGTCTCCTTTTTATAGCATATATAACTCTATACTATTGTTTTCACCACCAAACACTGTCCACAAGAAGTGAACTTCCTAGGTCTGTGTCCAGCTGTAGCATTATACAGCTGCTAGGAAACTGACTGTTGTTATTATCTAATCCCTGTGTCACTGTCGGTCTCCCTGCGTCTCACACTCTCCACCAAGTTTGGTACAAATCAGTTCGTTACCTTTTTCCTATTCCTGCTGACAATCAAACAAACAAAGCAACAAACACACATACAGACACAGGTGAAAAGAACCTTGTTGGAGGAGGTAATGATTCATGCTGTGTACGTTTGAATAAGTGTGTGAGAGTTAGTGAAAGCCAGGAGTGGTGTGCAGCTCTGATGATTTACTACTCAGGGCTCCGTCTGAGCTTTTGGCCTTACATGGCTAGACAACGAATAAGCTCCCATAGTCCTCTGCGCTCTCTGCTACTTCCATTTCTCTCCTCCTTGTCAATACTCCTCATATTTGGACTCTCCCAACTCCCTCTCCTCTCTTTCCTACAATCTTCTCTTGTCTTCTGTCCTGTTCACACCCGCAAACATTTTTCTTCTCAACTTCTCAAACTTTGCGTTTTCAAATTCATATATACCACTGCCGCTGGAGGCCTGTCCGCATGTTGAAGTGATTCAGGGAGCCCCCGTCTCCTTTTATAGCAGAAGAATGGGGATTATTTACACATGCAGTCAGGGTCACAGCCCTCACATCTATTACAACACTGCCTGCAGCTACAGGCAGCCGGGATGCACTGCTTACAACTCTAAAACTGGCTGGTGAGTGTGAGGAAGAGAGGGGAATAGGTAAATTGTGATAACTTTCTTTCAGCTTTGAAGGGAAATGATGATTTCATAAACACGTGTATATAATTTTTGTAGTTTTGGCCATCATTCTTATCTGTAATAATAACACTGTACTCACACAACACTGTGGCTACACTGCTAAAAAAAAGTTTTCAAAGCAAATTATCAGAATTATTACACAAACAAATAACTTTCCAGAGTTGTAAAATCCTGTCTTTATTTTGTCTTTACTGTTGTGCAGTATTTTTCTAACATATGGATCTACTCTTCAAACCAAGCTTTCTGGATTGAATTCCATTGTCCCACAGTACCTTAATCAAAACTACCAATGCAGCCATCTGAGCGCTCAGCTGCAACCTGTCTGACCGTTTCTTTCCCCATTGGACTTCATTGTAGTGTGGTGCTGTGTTCCCAGATCTCTGAAATCAGTTTGGTGAGTAAAATGTTATCATAACCAATGTTAACCAACATTAACGATGGCCAACACTATGAAAATAAGAGCCAAGTTGTAACAACATGCAATTTCACTCTAATTATAATGAAAAGCTGAGTGGACACACGTGCTGTTTGAATGTTTCAGCAAGTCCCTGCTGCATATTGAGCTAGCAGCAGCTGGCTGGTGCAGTCCTCTAATGATGGCCTTGTTCGCAGGCACCTCAACAACAGTTGCCGCTGAGGGGAGGGGATTTCTCAGTCACACACCCGCTCACATTTTCCAAGCTGGTACAGGGGTGCGAATCAGTGACCTTCTACCCACATTCAAACAGGCTACTGCTGCGCTGTCTCTGTATTTACTGGATACATTTCTGTATTGATGACATTCAGCATTCACAAATCTGTCCTCATGGATGGAGGGCTGTGTTGTTTGGATTGCGAGTGAGTGTGCTAGCTCATACCTGTCCCAAAGCTCTCCTCCCCGCAGAGGGAACAACGCCCAGAATCCATCAGGTTCCCAAAGTACCTCCAGCCTGCCGGAGTCTCATACAGCGCCAGTTTCATGGCTTTGGCTACCCTACAAACAGGCAGAAAGAAAGAGAGATAAAAAAAAAACAAACAAAACAAACAAAGCTGGAGACAATCTTCGTCTACTTCACGCTCACAAAAACACACTGTATTTTATCTCTGTCTAATATCTCACGCCAGCCAGTTTCCCCAGTTCTGATAGAAAGATAAGCTTACAAACAATCCTCTGACCTTTGAAATAAAGCAAACCAAATGCTGTGTGACAAGCTTGATCTGCCAACAGCTCATCCAATAATTTAATAAGTTGAACGCAGCGAGAACAAAGTGAGTTAACCTTTTAGCTGATGTTTGCTTTGAACCTGAGCCATGTACTTACATAGGGAGAGGAGGAGAGGGAATGTGCATGTGTGTGTACGTATGTGAATACATGTGTATGTTGGAGGGATAAAGGTGCAGACAGCACTATATGTGGGAGGAGAGGGAGTGCAAAGAAATGGACTCGAGGGGAAAAGAGCAAAGAAAAAGATCTAATAAAGCTGTGCAAATTTTGAAAAGGCTGGATACAATGGAATTACAGCAACATCAATATAAACAGGTATATTTATAGAAAAGGGTTGAAACATATGGACAAAAATGGAAATAACATTTAAAATGACAATATTATTAAATAACAAACAAAATCTGCAGCAATTAAAATAATTAGATCTTGGCACAAAGTACTTTGTCATTGGGCCAAAGTCCCTCCCCTTCTTCATGCTATAGCCTCTGTTCCGCTTGCATCAACTAAATATCTGAAACACGTTCATGGGGTTTTGTGTCTGCTCTCTAAACTAAACATGCTATTATAACCATGACGATTTACATTCAGTATTAACATTTGAATCAGCCATTGGCACAGTGTCAAAGCCTCATAGGTAAGGTCACAGCTATCGTTAAGGACACTGAGGTCATGTCCTCAGTTTTGTTTCTGGAAACTGAAGGTTTTAATTACATATGGAAGAGTTTACATTCCACAACATGGTGAGTTTATTAAAGCTGACATAACGCTTTTTTAGAGCCAGTGTTTTTAAAAGGTGCTATAGATAAATATTTTTATAATAACAATGGATCAAATGACCACTTGTATGTGAAAGGAGTTGCTCATAATGTTGAACCAACGGAGAACAATCACAGACTCTGCAGTTCTCCTCAGCTGTATGGAGCATTTCTGCAACTTCATTGTTTTGGTTCACTCTCAATGCTCTCGTACACTACCTGTCCACAGGTTAGACAAACTTAGCGCCTAGCCGGTGAACATAGTGGAGGATTTAGAAGCTAAACAGGACGCCATAGATTTATCAGTTTGCCAAAATAAATGCTTAAATTAATCATTTATTTTAGGTTTGAAGCCAACTTTTTTTAAGGTATAACAGGAATATGAATAATTGTGTATTTCTTCACCAGACTTTTTTTCTGAAAGTGTGGAGAGGGCATCAAAACAGCATTGAGACAATTGTGAATTGTGAAATTTTTGAAGATTCTTACAAAATAATTATAATTATATCATTAGAATCATTAGGTTCTAATGTTTCACTGTACGGTACATTATTAGATACATATTATCTTTGATTATAAACAAAATAACAAAGCAATATGTTTTAAAATCATGAAACAAACCCTCTATGAGAAAATCCATTGAGCCTCCAGGAGAGAGGGCCGGGATTTTTATATTGTATTATAAAAGTTACTATCCCAAGCCTGCTTGCAGAGATGTTTAGTTGCCCAGTGTCCTTGTTATTCCCCACAAATCACTCGTCAACCACATCATCCACGCCTCCTCGGTGACCACCACAAAATGTAAACACAATTCTTAGGACTCCACCAAGAAATAATGGACAAAATACCCAATACAAAACAGTTGTTGCTCCCAAAGAAACAAACATGTAGAAATGTCAAGCTCACGTGCAATATGTGTGGATGTGAGTAGGACTGAAGGTTTTTAAGTGGTGGTACACATGTCCACACAATCATCATGCACATAAATAAACCCCACAAAGTGTTCAGTACAGTTGTTTACATGAGGATGGGATAAATTACCAAATAAGAGTAAACCAGCTTTATTCCCCTCTGGGGAAGAAAGAGCTGGAACGGAAACCCGGGCATTCCTAAAAGAAAAAAGAAAAGCTGGCCTTCTGACGAGCTTTTGACGTTTTAAATGGCACGTCCGCGGCCAACACAAGCATTGAAGCTGAGCCTATCAGTGCTCAGTTTTCAAACAATGCTGTAAAAACGCCTGGACAAAGTGGCTGGGAGAGGACTGAGAATCGTGTTTTCTCAAGTTTGATGATTGCACCAGCTGAGCTTTAACTCAACAACAGTGATGACCAAAGCACAAACAACAAGCAAGTTCAGCCTGGTCTTTTTCTACACTTCCACTTATGATACGACACTCTTCAAACAAACAGTAAGAAATGAATGTTTTAGATCCACTAGTACAAGTAATGGATGTACTTGATTCTGAAGACTGCGCATAATTAAAATAAAAGATATCTACACATTGCTAAGCAAGAGAAGACATCACAGATTAGCATGTTGAGATGTCAGTCACGTAATATCAGAATTCTCTTTTCATTTGGAGTATTGAGGCATTTTTTGCTTCAACCAAACACATAAGGTTTTGGTATAATACACGCATAATCAAACACAAGCATATTCAAACAGATACAGTACACTGTCTCAGCCAGCCAGACCCAGTGGATGCTGCCTCCCTCTCCACAGGCTTTGCCAAAACAGAAAAAAAGTTGGCCGATGAATATGACCAGAGACACAAGGAATGAACTTGGAAGGTTTCTATTTAGGGCTGTAATCCCCCCGTGTGTAGGTGTGACCTCTCAGCTGTGAGGCTCTATAGTCTATCAATGTCCACTTTCTCACACTAGTAAGGGCCAGAATTTGGGCAAAGTGTGAATGTGTTGTCAAGTGTCTTTGTCGTATAAAACACAACATTTTTGTTCTGAAACAAAGTTTCTAACAAAGTTTTTAAATGAGGGCTGACAGCATATAACTGTGGAAGCTGAGGTGTGCCATCAGATAATATATATTCTTTTCAATCTGAATTGATGCACTGAGAAAACCATTCATAAAATGATTCATAAAAATGTACATATACAAATTTATACAAATGAATATCAATGTTATTAAATGTGCCAATTAATGATTCCAGCTGTCTTTAAAAGATTTATGAATCACTTAATTTTGAATTTAATTAACAGAGCAATTTTAAAAGGGATTTTAAAACAGTTCCACTAGTGCGAAGCTCTATACGTAGTTGTTTTTTTGACAATTCAGACTAACCTGAATACTTTGAGAATGAAGACTTAATCAAACTATATTTCTGAGATTTGTTTGCTTTTACTTTTACATATAAATCTTCTAAGATGCCTAATGCATTGAGCAGGTCTTGTCTATCCTGCACTATCTAAGATAATCAATGCTTTTTTTTTTTAAGGACTGAACAAAACTGCATCAGGGACTGAGACTACTGTGTAAAAAAAAAAAAAACGTTTTCTGCAACACTGCCTGTAAGATGAAATGAAACTGAACAGGGTCAAAGAAGGTCAGTCGTTTGAATGATTTGGATGATTTTTGCCCCCATAAGGTGAAGAGCAGACAGAGATTTCTTAATTGGGCTCAGCTACGTCTCCCTTACATCATGCTCATCCTCTGAACTCCAGCCTCTGGGTGAAAAACTTACACACAAACTGATGCACACACACTTACAATATTATTTCACAGTCAATAAACACACGCCTGCATAGACTAATCGAGTGTCTCCCTCGTTTTCTCTGTCTCTCTGTCTTCTTGTGTTTATCTCTCTAACTTGTGCACCAGTAAACACTGAGGAGTACAGTGAGCAATGAGGTTTCCAGAGTGAAATATTGCCAGCTTTTGGCCTTGGCTTGATATTTTACCAAACATAGCATGTAGTGCCCTCACTCCTCACCTCCCCCTCTGAAGAGAGCACAGCCTGGACTTGAAAACTTTACACTGGCATTGAGACAAAAAGCACAGCATGCTGGAGCTTTTCTTGGGCTTGAAATGTGAAGTCTTCTTCACCTGAACCCAAACCCTCACTGGACAGCACAGAAATTCAATACACTGAAGCTGTTGCCATGGTGATCAAAATGAAAATAAAGTTGAGATGACTTCTCTAAATGGTCATAGCTGTTACCTATTGTTTCGTGGAATCATCAAAGTACCTTTCTGACATCAGTTCAAAACAGTTTTCTAGGCTTTTCCAACGCTGTGTCAAAATATATTTACCATTTAATAATATTATATCAGGTGGAAAAGTGTGCGTGTATTGTAAATGTTTAACCTGGCTACCTTCTGCATCTTGCCTCCTACCAAAATACTGGTGCATAACACAACATCTCAGCCTGATGACAACTCTTCAGTTTTTCTTAGTGGGTTTTTTTCAGCATTTCTCCATTTTTTGAAATGAACTCAACCTTGGCAGAATTACAAGGGAACACATGTCCTGCCCTATCGAAACTGGTGTGGTATGGTCCCGTTGGGACAGCGTTAAATTAAACACAGGAAAAGCTTAAGATCCATCCCAATTCTATAACAGCAAATCCCAACCACAGATACATGTACCTCAGGGAGTTACTGGCAGGTACTGTAAGTGGTTAAAACTACTGCACAGAACATACCACTCAGTTGTGATGTGATTAAGAGTATGTGAAAAGGAAGTTGAAATAAAAAGCTCAACGTAATGGATAAATGTTTGCAAGTGGCAAGTGGTTTTAGTATGAATGCAAACTCAACCAAACCTACTGAAGAAACACCTATTTTAAAATGGATTTAAATGAACACACATGGAACAAGAACTTGGTCTTCGTTTGATGGAGGTGGGGCGGGGCGGGGGGGGGGGGGGGCACTTGAACTACTCTGATATGGATGTGGGGTACATTTGACATAAAGGGTTGGGAGCTGCTGCTATGTTATAGCACAATAAGTCCTTGATGCCAAATTATTCCAAGCTGACCCTCTTTCTTGAGCTGCAAC